TAAAATAGTCAAAGGAATCCACAAATCCTTATTTTGTCTTCTATACAAAATGCCAAATCAAATGTAATATTATGGGAATTGGAATTCATTTCAGCTCTGCCTAAGGATGGAAACCTTTGTGTTCAAACAACCTTCAGGCACAAAGTAGTGCACTGCTCTCTCATGTCAGGATTACCAAGAAATCCTGGGTGGCAGACACCACCTTTAGTTGATTTCCCTGTAAGACCCTTGGCTGAATTATTCAAAACAAACAAAAAATGATGAGCTGAGAAAGAAAAACTGTCATTCTGTCACTTGACTGAGTAAAAAAAAAAAAATCCTTAGGAATTTATCAAACATTTTATAGTCACCATCACAAGTTTATATTTTATTTTTCAAATCCAAATTCAGAAAGTGAAAAACAGAGTTTGAATGGAGCCCTCTTTTTTTGGGGGGTGGGTGGGTGCGACAGTCTCTCAACATAGTTATACTCAAATCTTCTTTGGCACCACTACTAACTTCCTAAATTTTTGGTGCAGGATAAATATGACTGTGTTTAGACACTAGACTCTCCAGGGAAAATTCAATTATCCAGGGATTTTAAACATTACTGTTCCATAAGTGAGCTTCAGGGAATTTACGAGCCCCTAGAAAATGTATGCACTCTCGTGGAAGTGAGAATATAAATTTTTATGTTTAAAGAGCCTGAAGCTTTGATTAGATTATCGGGGGCTGTGCGGGCTGATCTAATTACTTGATGGCATCCCTCCATTTGCACTGATTCAGTTTTCATTGATTTAACTTGCTGCTCTTAAAAAGTGAATCTTTCTGGTTGAAGTCTTCTTCGATTACAGAAATGGAGTGCTTGCCATCCAAGGTAAATTATCCTTTCTTCCCCAAGGAAGGGGATGAGCCCAATATTGGGCACAGCATCCCAGTAGCACTGAGGGAAAACCATAGACTATAGAACTTTCTCCAACTGAACTGCGGTGACCTAATTGCCTATGAATATTCCAAATAAAATCTATTGGGTAAAATTTAAATCTGTAGGGATAACCACAACCTTGGTTTCACTTTATATTCTGAGCAACAATATTTAGTAGAAAAAGAGTCTCCCATAAACGCCAGATTTAGTCATCTACCCGTGCCAGTAAACCGAACGGCAACCTTCTGCTCAAACATCTTACCAAAGTGAAAATCCCCTGAATGTTATTTTCCAGAATCATTCATTGGGCATTCCTTTGAACCTACTCAAAGGGGAGGTTATCTCCCATAAAGGTTTGCTTTTCACAACATTGTGTCTGTCTTCAGAATTTGTTGTTACTATTATTTTATCTGTTGCCTTTAGGATTCTTAATATTCACCTGTTGACTTCCTTTTCTTTCTTTTTTTCAAATATTGTTTTCAGAGAAGAAGGGAGAGGGAGAGAGAGATAGAAACATCAATAAGAGAGAATTATTGATTGGCTGCAGCCCTCCTCCCCCTTCCCCACACTGGGGACTGAGTCTACAACCCAAGCACTTGCCTTTGACCGGAGAGAGAGAAATCCTATTGGTTTTTCCTTCAAAATAGACCTAGAATCTGATTGCTTCTTACCATCTCCTCTTTTATAATCCTGGTCCAAGCCACCTTTGTTTTTTACCCAGATTATTGCAATGGCCTCTGTCAGGTCTTTTTGCTGCTACTTTGCATTCCTACAGCCTGTTCTCTGCACAGAAGGTAGGTGATCATTTTTAAACATAACCAGATCAGGTCACTCCTCCATGCAAAACCCTGCATTGGTTCCCAGTTTCACTCTGCGTTAAAGCTTAGGTCCTAATAGAGACCCTCAGTTGCCTACTGACTCTATCTCCCCATTCTGATTTTCATCTTCTTATCTTGTTCTATATGCTCCTCTTGCTTCCTCTTTTCTGGCCATAACAACTTAGCTGCTGTTCCCCAAACACAGAGGACACACTTCTACCTAATGCCCTCACATTTTACTTTTTCTATCTACGCCCACTGCCTGGAATATTCTTCCCTCAGACATCTATTTAGCTAACTCCTTCACCTCCCTTAAGCTTTTGCTCATATCTGACTGCCTCAATAAAGTTGACCCTAAATTTCCTACTTGGTATTTTGGTCTACTTTCTTTTCTGATGAATTATCAATAGTAACTAATAAGTGTGAGAGATGAGAGAGGGAAGGAGTTAGGTTGATACTCATATGATTGTTTGGTGATGATATTATCACACACTGGATAGGAATCTCAGTAGAATATTCCTTGAGTGTAGATGATGGATCCCATTGAGGTGCCTATTGGACATTCGGTTAAAGAATATAGTAGGTAATGGCATACATGGGGCTACATGGAGATATAGAGGCATTTATGTTGAAATCATAAAAATACAGATGATAATTTAAACCACAAATTTTTTAGTATGTATAGTAACAACAAAAGAGGGCTAGCTACAATCATTAAGAGATATTATTTAATATTTGGGAAAAGAAATTAGAACCAAAAAAAGATTAACAAGTTTTCAGAAAGTGAGAAGAAAAGTGTGTATATTATGGGAAAGAAACAAACATCTTTAAGTGATGATAGAAAAAAAAATAAAGGGAAAGAATCTGAAACCAAAGAAAAGAGAAAGAAGACAAAATTGATGAAATGAGGAGGGGGCCAAAGAAGAGGGGGTTTCTAGAAGATGGTAAAAGGGATTTAAGTATTTCAGGTATTAAATGTATGTATAATTTATTTCAAGATGCAAAATAATGTGTGATTACTATGTAAGAACATGACAGATGGAACGGATTCCCATGGTCTAAAGTATATTTGTGTGGAGGGAAAAGAGGAGCAAGTACCAGATGATGCTTTGAAAACACAAACCTTATTCAAACCAGATTTATACAGCCTCCACTAACTATTTCATGGTGGTCTAATTTACTTCTTAAACACACACACACACACACACACACAAACATCAAAGTTTGGAGTTTCCTATTCAAACTCTTAAACTGGAATGCCCCTTATGCCCAAGTTTCTGTTAAAATTGGAACTAGGGAAATGACTGATTTTCTGTGAAAAATAAACCAGAGAGAGGTTTCAGGGAAAGGGTAAGTAACAGAGCTATATTGTTCATCTATAGTTTTCAGTTTTTTCAAAGATATTTTGGCCTTGGTTCCTTATTACCTTCCATTCTCATTGTAACACCAAGAAATTTTGCAAATGTAAATAGTAAACTGAAGACTTTCTCTGTGCTTCGAAGTACAGAAAGTAGTTGACTCTGCATACCTTCCTTGCTTGCTTATCATTTGAGGAACAATATTACTATGTGAGCAGACTAATACTCACTACATGTCAAATAAAATGCAGACTAAGAATTGTTCACTTACTTTGGAAAAAGAATAGTTTCCCACCAAGAGAAATGATTTCCCTTAAAGCAAATTCCCTTCATTTTTTCTTGAACCTTTAGCACAGAATATACTAGAAGAGTCACATTTTTTCCTTGAGTGGAATCTTTGAGTAGCTATAGAGCCTGGGGTGTTTTTATGTTATTTTTAAAATTTTAGCTTTATTATTGAAAGTATTGCAGATGTCTCCTTTGTTTCCTCCCATTGACCCACTCCACCCTGCTCATATACCCGCTAGGGCCTTCACCACACTATTGTATGTGTCCATGTGTTATGTATATAAATCCTATGGTTAATCCCCCCCCCCCCCCCCGAGATTTGTTAGTCTGTTCCATGCTCCCATGTCTCTGGATCTATTTTGTTTGTCAGTTTATTTTGTTCAAGCCTGGGGTGTTTTAAGAAAATAAGAATAATGATGTCTCTTTTTTTTTTAATCCTCACTTGAGGATATTTGAAATAAGAATAATCATGTCTTTTTTTTTTTTAAACCTCACTTGAGGATATTTTTCCATTGAGTTTTAGAAAGAGTAGAAAAGAGAGGGAAAGATAGGGAGAAATATAGATCTGAGAGAAACACATCAATTGGCTGCCTCCTGTTCACACCCAGACCTGGACCAGGCCTGAAACCAAGGTATGCACCCTTGACTGGAATCAAACCCGTGACCCTTTGGTCTGCAGGCCGATGCTCTATCTACTGAGCCAAACCCACCAGGGCAAGAATAATGTGATGTCTTATCTACTCGTCTGATGCAGCATGTTTTGGTAAAACAGGAGAACTGAGATGGTGTGAAGAAATTATTAACACAGTAAAATAAACTTCTGTAGCATCAGACATGGATGGACCTTAACAATTCATCTGTGATAAACCGTTTTTTAAGAGCCAGCTGTAATTTAGCTATTAGAAGGGAGGCTACAAAAATAAATAAGTCTAACTGTCTCCTATTAAAAAACTGTATTTTAAATTTGTGGAATATTGACGGAACACTCTGTTTTCAAATTTCTTCACTCCAAAATGGAACATTTACTTATGGATTTTTCTTGTCTGCAGCAGTAGCTCAGCAGTCGGAAGCTTGTGTTAAAGTTAGTAGTGAAATTGTTTTCATTTCCATTCCCATTTTCTCCAGTTTCTTCCTGCTCACTTTTCTCAATCTGAATTCATTACATGGATAGTAGTGTTAAGTTAGGCAAAGGACAGACTTGGAGTATCACTTTTCAGTAATAAGTGATAAGCTCAGAAAAAATAAAAATAATTTATTATGATAAAATAAATTGGATTACCTTCTCAATCATGAACATAAATTCACTAAGTCCATCCATCAGTCAATTTGTGACTCTCTAAGCAATGCCCCCTCATTTTTTGATAATCTTTTACTGAAATGTTTCTGTGGTTTTGTTTTCATTTTCTTGAACTCACATGAAATTCTCTTAAATTTAGTCTCTTTCTCTACTCCTCATCAACTCTGAATTTCTCTGGATGTTGGGGATTCCATATTTTCTGTATGTCATAATGTCTAAAAACTTGAATTTAGTATTGACAATAATATATAGTTTGCTACCAAATGAAGTCCTGTGTTTTCTAGGATGAAAATTATGAATGAAGTACTGAAAGAAAAGAAAGTCATAGACTCAAATGTGAAATCACAGCATTTAATAGGTAATAAGGAAATAAAATCTGAGCAGTCATAACAGGTTACAGACTCTGAGTGGTCTTCTTTCAGGTTGATTTAGAAGGTTACAGATTATGAGTGGTTTTCTTTCAGGTTGATTCAGAAGGATAAGTTTGTTCAAAGCAAATAACTTTCCACCTGGGATTTAAAAACATAATAAAATATAAATAAATATATAAATATACAAACATACCTATATACACACACAAATACACCCACATACACATTTAATATATACATGACTATGTATAAATATATGTGCATGCATATATAATGATCTACCAACTTATAAAACAAAAATGAGAGATTTTTTTAAATGAGAAATTTGTAAAAGGCATATACATAGCTACACATTCTTTCAAGCTATTTTAAAGAAATTAATAAAATCTTAATGACTATGAGAATACTCATCCAATATCCAAACCTCCATAAATACCAGAGACCTCCTTTTGTGTCATTCATTGTTCTATCTTTAGGTTTTCATTTGCTTACCAGATGTGTTCTCAGTGTTTTATGATATACAATTTCCTTACCTTTTCCTGCGCTTTGTTTTCTCATTGGGAAACTGAAACACTGTTGACATTGTAGAAAACAATGGCATACTCTTCTGGAAAATAAAGGAAAAATTCATCCGTATTAAATCTCCAACTTTCTACAATCAGTGAAGTCAGACAATTGTAGATACATTAGGTCTAATCTTTTCAGTAATTTTGCAAGAGAGCCAATCACTTCTGTTTTTGAAATCCAACAATATCTTATTAAAATTTAAGGCACTTGCCCTAGCCAGGTGGCTCAGTTGGTTGGAGCATTGTCCCTTACAACAAAAGGTTGCTGGTTCCAATCCTGGTCAGGGCAAATACCTAGGTTGCGTGTTTGATCCCCCGGTCGGGGAATGTACCGGAGGCAACTGATCAATGTTTTTCTCTCACATCATTGTTTCTCTCAGTCTCTCTCTCTCTCTCTCTCTCTCTCTCTCTCTCTCTCTTTCTTCTCTCTTCCTTTCTCTTTCTCTAAAAATTAATAAAAATAT